GACTGACGAAATACTGTATATACTCGTGCAATCACAAAGCCAGCCTATGAAGCCCCATCTCTCTTCCTCTGACCCTCCTACTCTCATATTTCTCCTGCTCCCCCCCTCCAACCCTAATCCCACATCTCTCCCCCTCTCCATCCCTCTCTCTTTCCACTCGTTCTCTCCCTTTATCTCTCACCAGTCTTGCTGTCTGGGGCTGTAATGGAGATGATCAGTGACTCCAGTTCAGTTCCAGTCTGGTTCAGCTCCCGAACCCGAGTCCCCTGGGCCTCCCACTCGCTCAGCAGGTCCTGGAAGACACCAGTTACACTCCAGTTACCTCCCAGTGTACACACCAGTTACACTCCAGTTACCTCCCAGTGTACACACCAGTTACACTCACGTTAACCTCCAGTGTACACACCAACCCCACACACACAGTTACAGACACACACAGTCCTGCACTCTGACCTGCAGCTGTGAGACTCTGGTTTGCAGCTCCTCAGTGCTCAGGCTGGGCTCCACATGAGGCAGCTGTTCTTGCACTCCCTGCAGCCACCGCTGGAGGGCGCCACAGAGAGCCCTGAACTCACTGAGCTGCTGCTGACAGCCCTGCACCTCGCTGGACCTGCAGAGACAGGACGGAGAAAGTGGTGTTTTGTGGCCAGATAATGTATTACAGCCTTAACTGCTAAGAAGTTAAGTAGGGAGATGCGTCAGCATGCGTCAGTAGGCTGCAAAGGAACAAGTAAAGGTTTATTCCTAACAAAAGAAACACAACATTTCGGCTATGGAGCCTTCTTCGGGTGAAGGCACATGAAGGCTCTAAGGCCCGCGTCAGAGCTCGGTGTACGCACGCGCCCGCTCTCACCTGGCACTGATGCTGGATTCCAGCCTGGAGAAATGCTCAGACGCCTGCCTGACGGCGTCCTGCAGCAGCTGAGTGTCGGCGAGGACACCTGAGGCGCTCAACTCCTCGCCCAGCTGGCGCAGGGAGGTCAGCCGGTCTGCTTCCTGGGTCACCTCCACCCTCACTTCCTGTGTTGGGAGAAGGCGAGACGTCAGTTTCGAACAGGATCTCTGCGTCTTGCTCTCACTTTGACTTCTCTCTCTCTCCTTCTCCCCCCTCAGTCCCACTCCTGTCCTTCCTCCTCTGAGTCTTCGCTCCCTGTCCTCCTCGTCTTCTCCGTGCCCCCTCACCTCGACGCGCTGTCTGTGCTCCTCGATGTCTCGTTCGGGCTGCCCTCCCAGATTCAGCGAGCGCGCCCGGCTCTGCGTGAACTGCTGCAGCTCCTGGGCCAGCCTCTGGAAGTTCTCCAGCCGGGGCAGGAGGGCCCGGAGCTCCGCCTCCCTCGCCTGCTGCTGCGCCTGAGCCTCCGCATAGCGCTGGCACAGCTCCGACAGCGCCCCCTGCAGCCCGGAGGCTGTGGATGCGTCAGCGGTCTGAAGCAGCTGGGATACAGAGTCGCGAGTGGCGTCCACACTGCCTTGTCTGGACAGGAGCTCCTGACGCCACCTCTGAGGAGCAGAGAGAGTGAGAGAGACGGGAGGGGGAGGGGGAGGAGAGCAGAGAGTGAGAGAGAGAGGGAGGAGAGCAGAGAGAGTGAGAGTGAGATGGAGGAAGAGAGGTGAAGTGTTAGAAGATGGTGGCCAGTTTGGGTGGAGAACATGGTTGTGCTGGCTGGGTCCAGTACCTGATTCTGTGTCAGGGCATCCTGCACAGCCTGCGCAGTGGGCTGGACCCGGTCCAGCCCGGCCCGCGACCCGGGCAGCCCCTCCAACCAAGCCAGCAGCCCCTGCAGCCCCTCCTGCGCGCTGGCCGACTGGGCCAGGGCTGTCTGGAGCTGCTCGGCCCGGGCGGACACAGACAGGGACAGAGCGGAGAAACGAGCCTGCAGAGCGTCTGGGGGGAGAGAGAGAGAGGTCAGCAGCGAGGCCACACACCCTGCCCCAGAGCGCCACGGCTGGGCACAGCTCTGACCTGTGGTGCTGGCGATGTCCGCCGGTCTCAGCCTGGGGGTCTCCTGGCTGTTGGTCAGTGCCGTCCCTGCCCCCTTCACTCTGTCCAGCTGCGCTGACCGCTCAGCCAGCTCGTCCTGCAGCAGCTGGCCGAGGGAGAGCAAAGACAGGGGCCGACAGAAAAACAATAAGCAATTGTTACTGACGGGGTCTCCTCCCTCCGTCTCCTTTTCCCTCCTCTCTCTGTCTCCTCTCTATCCTCCATCTCCTCTCTCCTCCTCCCTCTCCCACCTGCACTGCGGTCAGCGTGTCCTGCAGGGTCTGGGTGTCCGTCAGGTCACTCTGAGCTCTGTCTAGACTCTGGCTCTGCTCCCGTTCTGACAGCCAGCTGGCCAGAGAGTCCGCCTCCTCCTGGTACTGCTGGTACCGGTCCAAAACCCAGGCCAGGTGGGTCCCCAGCTCCGAACACTGCGGGGAAAGAGGAGGAGAAGATGGGAACAGTGACACGGCGACCCCTGGCTGTCCTGGGGTGCCTCTCAGGAACCCCGTTCTCTGAGCCCTGCCGCCCACCTTGCTGTGCAGGCGAGCGTAGCGCTGAGAGCTGTCCTGCAGGCCATCGGCAACCAGCGTCTGCGTGGCTGCAAGCGAGGGGTCGGCCTCACCGCTGCCTCGTACCGAATCCAGAACCTTCTGCCCCGAGATCGTGACAAACCGCAGGTCGGCCTTGTGGCAGATGACCTCTTCCGCCAGCTACCGAGAGACACAGACAAGACACGGCTTGGAAGCACAGCAACGTTTGAGAGGATGGTGTTCTTACAAAAACCTGGGGGCAGAACTGAGGTGGGAAACTGCTCAGTTAGCGCGTCGCACCTTGCCATGCTCCTCCTGCCTCTTCCTCAGGCCCTGCGCGTCGGTCTCTCCGTCCGTCAGGGAACGCAGCTCCCCCTCACTCAGTTCCAGCCAGTCGCTCAACTGCCGGTGCTCCTGCAGAAACTTCCCCAGCTCCTCCCTCAGCGACTCGGCCTGCTTGAGCTGGGCCCGGCAGCGGTCCGCCCGGCTCTGGTACTGCCCGCGCAGGGAGTCCAGGTCACGGCGCAGCCGGTCTTTCTCAGCGGCCGGTACGCTGTCGTCGGGACGATCCAGGAGGGACTGGGCGGCCTGAGTGGCCAACAGGAAGTTCTCCTGCTGGGACTGCAGCTGCTGTAGCTCAGCCTGGAGGGATGGGCGAGAGAGATGCAGTAAGATCCTGGAAAGGTATGAGAAGCCATGAACAACAATACGTCCCTGAGTACTGCACTGCAACACCGTATCCCCCGATGGCTGGGACACGGAGAGGCCCTGCTTGTGATCCTGAGAGAAGGAGTGGGGTGTGGCAGAAATTCTCCTCAGTCTGACCTGCAGCTGTTCGCAGCGGGAGTCCAGAGCACCACCTGGCTGTGACCCTGTGTCAGTCTGCGTCAGGTTCTGAGCGGCGTGCTGCTGTGAAGCGAGACCCCCCGGGTCGCTGGGGGGCAGGGCGGAGAGCCAGGACAGCAGGGACCCCATCTTCTCCTGCGCCTCCTGCAGCTCCTCAGCCGCCCGAGCCTGCGATGCACCAAGTCAGGACACGGGCGTCACCCACTGAGGCGCAGCCTTCTCATAAACACCACTGGCACTGCCAGCTGACCGCGTCATTGACAGAGGCACAGCGTCAAACAGAAGCCAAGCAAGCAAGACAGACCGAGAGAACCAAACCGCAAATGTCAAACGGGAAAACGAAAACCTGGAGAAGAATGAAGAGGCGGGAGAAGCCAGAGTATCCGCTGGGCGGAGCAGCTGCTGCAGTCAGCACCTTCACGCCCTCACCTTCTGCGTCTGTGCCTGCAGAGCAGTGGTCACTGCGCGGTCCAGCTCCCTCTCCGAGCTCTCCGCACGCTCCTGCAGGGCGCTGTACTGCCCCCGGATGGCAGACAGCCTCGCCTGGAGTGAGCCCCGGTCCTCGGGAGACAGAGCCCCCCCCCGCTCGCCGAGGAACTCCTCCACACAGCGCAGGGCCTCCGTCACCCCATCTCCCCGAGACTGGAGATCCCTCTGCACATCCTGGAAGAGCACAGCGGCCGAGAGGGAGACAGGAAGACAGAGAGACAAGGAGTGTCCATGTCTGCTTTTCAAATCTCAATACAAAAAAACACCAAACCCAAAATCATCACACCCAAGTCCCAGTCCGAATCCGGGCCTGTCCCTCACCCTGATCCCCCTCTGCTTCCTCTGCAGAGCGCTCACGTCCGCGGAGTCCAGACCCGCTTGCTGGTTGGACAGCGTGGTACCAGCCTCGGCCAACCATAGCGCAAGCTCCTCCAGCTTCTGGGAACATCCTGCCTGCTGCTTCTGCACAGCCTGTCGGTCCGCCCGGGAGAGAGAGGGGAGAGATCCCGTGAGCGCGGAAGGGAGAGTCCGGGAGACCAAGGAAAACCTCATGGGTTTGAAAGCTTCCTGGGCACAGGATGCCAAAACCTCACCAACAGCTGAATTCAAAGAGCCCTCATGCTCACCGTTCCACATCACATGAGTACAACAGTCCACCAGACCCTGTTTGGAGGCAGTGAACAGCAGCGAGCGCACTCTGCGGGAATCATTTCAGACTGGGGCTGCAGGCAGCAGGCTGCACACAAACGCTTTGACACACCGAGCAGTCACGCCTCACTCTCTCTCTCTCTCTCGCTCTCTCTTTCCATCAAACCGCTCGCTGGACCGGTCCGGGCCACAGGCCCAGCGAGACCAGAGACACCTGTGACAGCTGTGAGCACGACGTGTCCAGGTCAGTGACAGAACCGGAGAGACAGACGGACAAGACAGGCCCAACTTCGGCAACAACGAGTCAGCGCGACAACACAAAAACTTCTCAAACAGCTCAACACAACACCAAACAGCGAGGCCAAGCTGGGCTCTCTCGAACCCGAACCCCCCCGCACAAACTACCCCCATGTAAAGACCAGAGCAGCGGTTTCTTGGTCTGGCCCAACACAGGGCGACAAAGGGCCGGAGAAGAGAGGCTCCAGCCCGTTAGCAGGCCCTGCCGGGTCTCCTCTCTCCCGCAACAGCAGACACACAATCTGTAAGAGCAAGGCAGACAGGTTAATCCACACGCATGCTGGGGTAAGAGCACAGGCTCGCTGTGTGAGCACGCAGGCCTGCAGCAGGAGCTGAGCAGCAGTAGAGGGGCTGTAGGAGCTGTAGTAGTGGAGGAGGGACGGGGCTATAGTAGCTGTAGTAGTAGGGCTGTAGTAGTGGAGGAGGGATGGAGTAGTAGTAGCCATAGTAGTAGGGCTGTAGTAGTGGAGGAGGGACGGGGCTATAGTAGCCGTAGTAGTAGGGCTGTAGTAGTGGAGGAGGGATGGAGTAGTAGTAGTAGTAGGGCTGTAGTAGTGGAGCAGGGATAGTGCAGTAGTACTCCAGTAGTAGTAGGGCTGTAGTAGTGGAGCAGGGATGGAGCAGTAGTAGTGGAAGAGGGATGGAGCAGTAGTACTCCAGTGGTAGTAAGGCTATAGTAGTGGAGCAGGGATGAAGTTGTAGTAATAGGATGTAGTAGTGGAGCAGGGATGGAGCAGTAGTAGTAGGGCTGTAGTAGTGGAGGAGGGATGGAGCTGTAGTAGTAAGGCTGTACTAGTGGAGGAGGGATGGAGCTGTAGTACTCCAGTAGTAGTAGGGCTCTCTATGACTCAGCTGGCCTCCTTCACTCCTCTTCCCCACCTGCCTCCTGCTCGCCAGGACAGCGGAGTCCTTGATGACCTGAGAAGCGGGACTGCTGACGAACCAGTGCAGGAAAACAGCACCTGCCAGTTTGCTGCACCAGAGGAAGTGAATGACACACTCTGGCAGAGCCCCTGTGGAGCAGGCTCCACGCACATACACCTCAACCCCGTCCTCGGCTCTCAGCGCCGCACTTCTCCAGCGAGAACAAGCGGCCGGCTGCTGTGGCTGCCGTGTCCACCTCTGCCCGTCCTCCCACAGGAGCCCTCCACACCTCTCTCTCGCGGGCGCCGTCTCTCTCCCTCGCCCTCACGCTGGCCAGGAGAGCCTCCGCGCGGCCTGATGCCTCGTGGAAGGACCTCTGAAGCTGCGTGAGGCGTCTGAGGAGCTGCCTGCTCTGCAGGGGCTCCACGTCCTGAGCTCGCTCGGACACGAAGAGCTGGACATCGAAGGCAACGGAGTCCAGCTCCCGGGAGCGCTCGGAAAGAGCCGACCTGAACTCCTGGGGGACACATGGACAGGGAGCGAGGAGAGGGAAATGAAAAAGAGGACGAGGGATAGTGTGAGAGAGGTTAACAACATCGTCTGCATCGTCACAGTCGGGTACTCATTGAGTGTAAACACAAGACTGCGCTGTGTGTGTCAATGTGAACACAAGGGTGCGCTGTGTGTGTCAATGTGAAAACAAGGGCGCGCTGTGTGTGTCAGTGTGAACACAAGGGCGCGCTGTGTGTGTCAGTGTGAACACAAGGGCGCGCTGTGTGTGCATCAGTGTAAACACAAGGGTGTGCTCTGTGTGTGTCTGCGTGTGCGTCAGTGTGAACACAAGGGCGCGCTGCGCGTGCATCAATGTGAACACAAGAATGTGCCGGGTGTCAGTGTTACAGAGGACTGCGCGCCCTTACCTTGCACAGCTGCAGCTGGTGTGTGAGCTCTGAAGTGTTCTCTCCCCCACTCTCTCTCTCCGTCTCTCCCTCCCTCTCCCTCAGCCAGGACAGCAGGGCCTGGACCCGAGCCTCCAGAGCCTTCAGATCGCTCTGGACTGTGTCCTGAGGGACAGCAAGGCAGAGCTAAGCAAACAGCAACAGAGAGGCAGCGCTGTGAGACGGAGTCTTTCCACCCGCGCCCTCTCTCACCCTGTGCGCGTCCAGCTGTGCGCGCAGTGCCTGCAGCAGGGCCTGGGAGGCTGCTCGGGCAGCGAGGTACGCCCGCGACAGGCTCCGCCCATCCTTCTCCAGCGCCAGCAGCAGCTGGGGGGGGACGTCCTGGGGCTGCGACTCCAAAACCTGCCCCACACCATCAACTTCCTGGGTCACAGGTCGCTCTAGGTCAGATAGCTCCTGATCCAAGGCCTGAGAGTGAGGTGGGCAAAGAGATTAAGACCATTACCATAAAGTCACTCGGCATTTCATCTCAATTACATTGAAATCCATGTTTTTATAAATCATGTTGTTTCATTCTTGTTGATACTGATGTTAGATGTTACTAAACTGTAATATAACTTTTTAAAAATATCATCAGTAAGGTTACCTCAGCCTGCCTAATGCTGTCTTCCAGGGCACTGATGCTGCGTCCCATTGGCTGCTGCTGCTGCTGTCTGAGGCGGACCTCAATGTGACGGACCAATGAGAGCAGAGCCACAAGCTGCTCGTCACGTTCCAGACACCTCTGACGAGCCAATGAGGGCTGAGGAGGAGGGAGGGGTGGGATTAACGATCAGATTTGCAACAAATTCAAATTCACTCTCTCATTTGGCTGCTCTGTAATTCTGCTTCCTGCAGCTACACTCTAAGATTATATACGCTGCAGCACGGGTACTGTGCCGATCACTAAATTCACAGCGTTTTGAGTAAATCCTTTTACCTTGGCGCCGCGGGCAGTGCTGCCCTCTCCCTCCTCCCTCCACGGCTCCTTCCTCTCTCTCTCCTTTCTTCTCTCTGCAGGCTCAAGCGCGGGCTCCGATTCTGGGGTCCGCTGGGCCAGGGCACCCCCCCCGAGCTCCGCCGGGCTCTGGGCGACGCCAGGAGAGACGGGTTTCCCTGCGTGGCGTTCCTCCAGCCTCAGCTCCTTCTTGATCTTCTCCAGCAGGAGCTCTCTGCTCTGGACGCCGAGCGGGGCGGCAGGACCTGGCACACCTGTCCGAGTGCGGGGGGCGTCCTCCGCTGTCTCCACGCATGAGGCTGGGGACCCCTCAGGATGGGGTTCGGATTTTGAGGTTCCATCCTGGATAGCACCCAGATGGGATCCGATCTCCGGAAGCTCGGAAGCTCCTTGAGCCTCTACGTTCGTGGCTGTCGTAGTTTCTCTTGCGACAACCAGGGTCTCTGGGACATGCTGCTCTCCTCTCTCTTCCAACGCTGCTGCATTTGCCCCTTTCCAGGGCAGATCCAGGGAACTTAAGCTTATTCCTGGTTTCCCGAGCTGGCTATCCGGAGAGCCATCCTTGGTTGCCTGATCTCTAAGGTCTCTAACCTCTTCCTCTGCACGTGTAACGTCTTTCTCCCTTGTCCATGACACCCTTAGAACATCTGTATCCGTTTTCCCAACCGCTGGCCCGATTCCTGTCTGTTTCTTCACCGATTCTTCTTCCTCTGGGACTCCGCCCACGGCCTCCTGCCCCAGCTTCCCCTTCTCAACCTGTGGGATTCCCCTGCCCTTGTCTTCCCTCTCTCTCGGCTCTGTCCACAGACGGAAATCCTTATCCAGATGTGGCTCAGCTATGGAAACATCTGTCTCGTCATCTCTCTCTGCATTTCCCGAGTCATTTCCCTCCTCTTCCCCTCTGTGCCAAACCCCAGTTTGGTCCTTCAGTGTCTCCCGAGTCTGTCCCAGGGATGTTGTGTGCTGCTCAGAAACAGGAAAAGCCCTCACTCTGGCAGCGGAAGAGGCAACATCAACCTCCTCAGTCTCTATATCGGGTACCCGAAGGACCCCCGTGCCCACTTCCTCCTCGAAGCCTCGTTCCCTCACCCCGCCTCGTCCTCTGCGCAGGGCCTCCAGCTCCTGGGCCGCCTGGTGCTCACTCACCCCGCGCTGAAACACTTTCCTCAGGATGCTCTCCTTGGCCTTCAGGAGCAGGGCTTCGCGTGCCGAAGGAGACGGAGACCAGAGAGGACTCGCTCTGGGAGCAGCCTCTGCATCTTTCTTCTCCTCCACCTCTCTTCGAAGAGCGGGTGGGAGAGGAGTCTGCAAGGAGAAATCACCCTTCCTCTTCTGTTCTCCAGGTACAGGAAAAGACACTAAGCTAGGTTTGGGAAGATCCTTGATCACTTCCTCTTCTTCCTTTCCTCCGTGAAGGAGCGTCAGGATTTGGGAGGATTCCATCTCCTTCTCTCCTTCCTCTCCTGTTTGAAGGGGCGGCAGGATGAGGGGGGATTCCATCTCCTTCTCCTCCCTTTGTTGCTCCTGCTCCCCCTCTTTCAATGTCGATCGATTCCAGCGGCTGTCTCTTTCGTCCTCCAGTGTCTCACTTTCTGTTGCCTCTGGGTGACTCTCTGAAGGGAAACGGGGCCTCCGCTCTTCTTCACAAGACCCTGGGCTACCCTCTTCCCTCCTCTGGCCCTCCTCCTGGACTTCCACAATCTCATCTGCCACTTCCTCGTCCCGCTGTGCAACTTCTCCGTGTTCCAGGTCCGCCTCTCCTACGACACCCCGACTTGTCACTGGCAACTCTACCCCCACTTCCTCCCTGGTGGCCTTGCATTCCCATGGAAGTGGTGCGTCTCCCACACGTGCTTCCTGGGGTCTATCCTCTGCCCTGGTGTCAAGCACCTCCCACCCAGTGCTCCCTGTCAGCAGCTCACTGCCTGCCTGCGCGCCCCTATCCTTACCCTCGTCTTCAGCTTTACCTTTGACTTCTTTCTGTGCTGCTTCCTTGCTTTCCTGTGCCAGTGGTACATCTTCCAGCTGCTCTGTGGCTGTTTCCAAGTGCACTACCTCTGGAATCCCCTGATCTTCGCCCGAGAGGCTGATACCATCCCCGTCTTGGACTAGCTTCTCCTGTCTGTCTCCCACCTGTGCTTTTCCCGAGAGCGATGCTGCGTACTTCTGTGCCTCTTCTGCGTTTGCATTGGCTCTGTGCCCCAGCCTCTCACTTGGCAAGCTCCCGGCCCCCTGGCCCTCTGCCTCAGCACCTGTGCTGTCATATTCCAGTACCACCGTGAGCAGGCCGGTGTCAGCTCCGGCGTCTTTGATTGGTTCGTGGCTGTTTAGCTCCTGAGCTCTGCATTCCTCTCTCTCACTCTGCTGCTCTCTACCTACCCTGTAGTGTAGCTGCTCATGGACCTTAGAGTGGCCCAGAGAGCTGGACAGACCAGCTACCACTTTCTGTTTTTCCTCTGAAAGGGGTGTACCTGTGTCTTCCGTGGTGCGACTGTAACCGTGATCCACCAAACCAAATGCAGAATGTGGACGAGCTGCTGATCTGTCTTGAGTTAGGATGCCGTCCTTGCTGTCAACTGCAGCATCCATTGGGATCCGTCCCAGTTGATCAGTTTCTATGGGAACCCCAACCTCCGAATCTGCAAGTCTACCCATCACAACTCCTGCCTTCTCTTCCCTCCCAGAGTCTTTCCTTTGATCTGCTGATCTCTGCAAGACAGCAGAAATGACCAGCTTGACAGGTCCCCCTCTCATGTCTTGCCCTGGCTCTGCATTGGAACATTCCTGATCTAAAGGAGCAGAGGCACCAGCCTCTCTTTCTTCCTCGCTCAACAACATTCCCTTTGTTTTCCATGTAGGATGGGAGTCAGCCTCACATTTCTCTGGACGTTCTTGCAATTCTTCCTCTGAGCTCGAGCGCAGGTCTCTGTCTGGGGTGTCCACCTTTGGCTCTGCGACCATCACTACTGGCTCTGCAGTGAGGAGGGCTTCTTCCGTCAGCACTAATCCCAGCTTTTCCTCTCTTTCCAGCTCTTCCACCTGTGCAAGTGCAGATCTGGGCAGAGATGTCTCTTCAGGACTCTTGGCTGCCACCAAGAGGTGTCCTTGGCTTTCGGGTACTTTGCGGGCCAAGGGCTCAGGGATCAGAGCAGAGTCCAGTCCAGGCTCTGCAGGTTCGGCTCTCTTCTCACTTGTGCTGAAATCAGATGCTGCTGAAAACAGGAGAGATGAGGAGATTATCCCATTTATAGACCCTGCAGGTATGAGCGTCTCTTTCTCAGAATCTGCACCAGAGTCCTCATCTTCCTCTTCTTCCAGACTGCCCACTTTGTCCTGAATAACTGCCGCCATTTCTTTTGAGACCAGTCCCCTGTGTTCAGCTGCTGTCAGGCTGAGGACTCTCTCTCCGGTGGCAGGGTCCAGCAGCCCTCCGGCCAGCAGCTGGTTGGTGGCAATGACTTCTGCCACGTCCTCATCCACCAGTCCCTTCCGGACAGCTTCTGCCAGAGAAAGCCTGCCTCCGGTTTCGATGTCAATAATCCCCCCAGAGTCCGCCTGGCTCTGCAGGAGCCTCAGGGCCGGAATGAGGTCAACCTTCCCAGCCTGCAACGCCTGAAGGAGTGTTAGTGTTGCACCCGTGAGCTCATCCTGAAAGCCCCTGAACCGACGAACTTCCAGAAATCTCTGGCCGGTCTCGATTTCGATCTTACACCTGTTGATGAGCTCCGAATATGGGACAAGTGAGGCAGTCTGGGGATCCAGGACTGAATGCTTTATGGCGGGGTCCAGAAAACCCCGAGAAGCGGCCCCCGTGAGTGTGGGCCCCCTGCTGGAGACAGGGGCGCCTCCCTGGGCTGGGATAGAGTCTTGCCCTGCCCCTTCCCCACCTGGCCGCAAAGAAAGTCTCTCCACCTCCGCCAGCTCCTGCGCCAAACCTGCATCGATCAGATCGTGCGCCAAAGCATCTGACACCGAGAGCCGCATCCCGGAGCTGTGATGCATGATTCCACCATCCGCCACCTGCTTGGACAGCACCTGTCGGGCTAGTTCCCGGTCCAGAAGCCCTTTCCTCAGGGCCTGGCTGAGGGGCACAGGGCTTTTGGTTTTGGGATCCACAATCCCATCCATCTCCAGCTGCAGGGCTACCTTCCACTTATTTGCTTCTTCATCCAGGCCAGCGGGGGGGGTCTTGCCCTTGCAGGATTTTTCCAGCCTGTTCAGGTCATCCGTTAAGCTGTCGTCGATCAGACCCAGGTTGGCTGCCAGCGTCACGGACACCTTCTTCCCACGGCGAAGGTCCACCACACCCCCTGAGGCCACCTGCGCTTCCAGAAGACACGCGGCCGTTTCCCGGTCCAGCAGCCCAGACTGCGCTGCTTCCTGGACGGAGCACACCTTTCCCTCATCTGCATCCACAACCCCCGAGATCGTCTTCTCAGATTTGAGCACGTTCCACATCAGCTCCTCATCCAGGAGCCCCTCCTGCATGACCTCCGCCACACTCAGCGACTCGCAGGTGCTGGAGTCGAAGAACCCGCCAAAGAGCCCCGCCTTGGCCATCAGCTTGACGGCCGAGTGGCCTGGCAACACGCCAAACGCAAGAGCCTCATCCAGGAGCAGACGCCTCTTCTGGCCCCCTTCCTCCATCACGATCCCTCCCTCGCGGAGCTGATGGGCCAGGGATTCCAGCTTCTCCTCCTCATCAGAAAGCCTCCTGGACTTTCCCAAAGGCACGGAATTCTCCTCCCGCTCTGTGCTCGAGTCCCATAAACGGGGATCTTCTTTGACAGAGACCGTTTCAACGGCAACCTGGCTAGTGTCATCTCCCTGTCCGGTTTCCACCCACCATGCTGCCTCTTCCTTTGTTGCATGCTCTCTCCCCAGCTGGCTGGACTTGTCTCCCCAGCTGGCTGACCTGCTTTCCACTGTTCTAGTGGTCTCTCCTTCCTGGGCTCCATCTTCCTCTCTCTCTTTTTCCGTGACTGAGCTTTGCCGTTCTGCCTCTGGTTGAGCTTGTGCATGAAGACCTGTGGCCTCTGCAGGTAAGGAGCACTGAGATCCCCCCATTTGCAGAGAGAGGTCTGCTTTTGCGCCACCAGTTCCAATGCTCCCATCAATGTCTCCTTCCTCTTGGATAACCAAGACTGTGCCATCTGCAAACTGCCTGGTCTCTGTTTTCATTCCTGCATCAGGCTGGTCCGGTTGTGAACCATGAGACAGGAGGAATTCCTTGTCTTTGTGACGTGACACGCCTGTGTCTAGTTGCCGTTGTTCGATTACTGCCTGCTTCTCAGACAGAGTGGTGTGGTCTAGCTTTGAGGAGATCTGCTGTGTACCCAACTGGGCCTCACTGAGCCAGATGGACGGCTCTGATTCTGCCCGTCTTTCCTCAGCACCATGGCTGTCCAGCACTGCAGCTGTGTGTCTTTCCTCTACCATTAACATCTGCCTCTCCTCGACCCCGCCTTCTGTGGGCAGGGGAACACTGACCACCTTCCCTGCAGCCAGGTCCGGGTCGAGCGGTACCTCTGATGTCCAGTCCATCACAGAGGGGCCATCCCTAGATTCTGTCTTCCAGGACTCTGTCCCAGCATGAGTTTCAGGATCTGCAATCTTCGGAGTGCCTGTGGGAATGGGACCAAGGATCTCCTCCTCCTTCCATGTCTGTGTTTCCACTCCTGCCAGCCTCCTCCCCTCTCTGGTTTCATTCCTTCTCTCATCTGGCAGCCACACCTCGGGTCTCCCAGCGCCGTGTCCAGGGGCTGCGGACAGAAGCTCGTGCTCAGTCTCTTCTTTAAGCACCTCTACTTTCTGGTCTCTCTCCAGCTCCTTTTCCGGTTTTTCCCTTTTCTTTTTCCCAGGCCTTTGTTCTTCCAGGGAAACAGAGACACCGTCTCCCTCGCTTCCCTCTTCTGCAGCTACAAACCTCTCGAACCCCAGTGTCCCGCGTGCCACAGTGTTGCAGCTGGGTCGCGAGGTTGGGCCGCTCTCCGTCTCGGCTTCGGCTGCTTTGAGTTCTGGGCCTCTCCTGATCTGGGCCGCGCTGCTGCTGGCCAGCTGAGCAAGCTCGGGTTCGAGAAGCAGCATCCTCTGCCCATCGCCAGCACCTACATAGCTGTGCGTCATCAGGTGGAACAGCAGCCTCTGCTGGCTCTCCTGCTGAGGGTCTGTGTCCTCCGCTGGGCCGGGGCTGTAGCGCGGCGCGGGAGGGGTCACTGGGGGGGAGCCCCCACTGTCCGGGGAGGGTGGAGGAGAGGAGGAGGCCGAGTCCCAGCTCAGCCGGTTCACAGTCAGTGACCCCGACTGGCTCATACTGGGCAGCACATCTGGGATTGGGGTTCCCCTCAGAACCTCCAGAGCGCTCGAGTCCAGAATCTCCCCGGCCTGATCCAGGGGGACCACGCGACTGGTCTCGGGAAGGTAGAGGGCGCCTATTCTCCGACGCTGGCGCAGGATCTCGCAGGCCAGCTCTGTGGAGATCGCCCCCTGCTGGAGGGCCTCAGACAGGGGCAGCACCTCTCCCGACTCCGGCCACAGCACGCCCATGAACGACCACAGGGACTCCAGCACCAGCAGGGCGGCTCTGGGAGCCAGCAGGCCGCGGCGGACGGCCTCGTCCACGCCCAGCCTCTCTCCGGTCGCCGGGTCCACGATCCCCCCGGCCTGCAGCTGGCGCGTCAGCAGGGCGCACGCCATGTCCTGGTCGATCAGCCCGTGCCTCACGGCCTCGTCCGCGGTGAGCCGGTGGCCCGAGCGGGGGTCCGCGATCCCGCCGGCGAACAGCTGCGCCTCCAGCAGCCGCACGGTGACCTGCCGGTCGACGAGCCCCTCCTGCACGGCGCGGAAGATGCCCACCTTCCTGCCGGACTTCATGCAGACCACCCCTCCGGCCCGCTGCCTGACGGGGAGCAGCCGGAGCCCCGTGTCCCCGTGCGCCACGCACCTCTCCCGCAGCTCGCGCAGGCTCAGCTTGTCCGCCGTGTTGGGGTCAATCAGCTCCTTGCGCCGCGCCCGCGCCAGCAGCTCGGAGTGCAGCCGGGGCGTCAGCAGGCCCCGCTCCCAGGCCGCAGCCAGGCTCAGCTGCCCGGCCCGGCC